TTGGGTGTTTGTGGGAAAAAAAATCTGGCCCGCAGTATTAAAGGAGAAATCATCAGATATTACCAGGATACCCCCGGGATATGTTTTTTTAAAAAACCCAAAATTCAAAATTTAAAAGTTGATAGTTAAAAGCAAAGCAACGGTCAACAAAAAAAGAGAAATAGTAGAGGGGCAGAATAGTCCCTTAAGATTTATTATTCAAATAAATAGGAGTTTTAAGAAAAAAAGATGATGAGCTAAGAATTTCTTGCAAGTGCAGGTAATATAGATATTATTAGTTAAAATTTTGATAAAGTTTTTTTTTGTAAAGGTTACAATGTGGGAATTTTCAAAATTTTGGGTTTGCAAGTACAAAGATAGCCATACCAAGGGTGGGGGGGTTTTTGGGGGAAATAATCCCAAAACGTTTGTAAAATTTAAAAATTTGCAAATTTTTTTAAATACGTAAAACTTTATTTAAACTAGACAAGAAGTAGTGGGTTTAATGTTTTACAAAACTTATTTAAACTTAAAAACAAATTTTGAGGTAGTAAGGTTTGGGTACGGTTTGGGTTTAAAAAAATCTTGAAATTGCACACAAAAAATTTTTTTTTACAAAATAATGGTTTTAGGTGGGGAAAAAATTTTATGGATTTGGGAAAAATTAAAGGGGCCCAGAGGGCAATAAAAAAAACTATTTAGCAGATGGGTTTTTGGGTTTATTTTGGGTTTTAAAATTTAAAGATAAAATGATTTTTTTTTGCAAAAATCTTTAAAATTTTTAAATTTCAGGGAATTCCTTGACAGTTCCAGTAGCGAGTTCCCCGGAAACTTCGGGCCCCCCTTTTTGGGCATAGTATTGTTGCATATTTAGAGACAAAGGGGCAGGGGACCTGGTTCAACTTGAAAAAATAGAAAAGCCCTTTTGAATACAACCCTAAAGGGTTATAAATATTCCACACTGATGGGGTCAACAGGAAAAAATTTATGGGGGTGGTGATGTATGTCAGAGATAATTTAAATTGTTTTTTGTTAAAAAAAGGGTGTAAGTTAGGGGAAAAATGGCACAGAATTTTGTTTGGCTTTCAGTTTCTCGGGAAAGGCGTGAAAAATTAATCTTTGGGGGGGGATTTTAGGCCCCCAAAAACCCTTTATAGAGGTGCCCGTAGGGGTGCTATGGGACGGAAATTTATAAGGGGATCTAGATTTTGGAAAAAAGTTGTGTTTAATGGGAAAATTTTTAATTTAGACAAAAATGATTGGGAAAAAATGTGACTGGAAAATTTTTGGGGTTTTTAATGAATTTCTTTATAAGGTTCCCAAAACGGGTTTTTTTAAAAAAGTCTGTGGGCAGAACCAATGAGGAAACAAAACTTTCTTGGCTTTGGTTTTTGCCAACAAAGAATCATAGTTAACAATCCCTTTAGATTAGTGATGAAACTAGGGGGAAAATGATTCCCAAAACACTTTTGTTCATTATATCATTTAAAAATTTCCAGATAATGCAATCAATAAACAAGGGAACCGCCCCCGGGGGGTACTACTGTCCTGCCAAAATGAGTTTTTTTAAAACGAAAACCCGTATTGTTTTACATGTTTGGTTTGGATTGCTGGTGTCCTTTTTTTTGTTCATGAAAAATGCAAGATTTCAGGTACTTTTTGCTACTTCTACCCTTTAATTTTGGTACACTACACTACATGTTTCCCAAACATTTTATATAACCCCCCCTCTGGGTTTTTTCTATTTTCTTTCTAGTTCTTTTTCTTGTTTATTTCCTTTTTCTCCTTTGGGGGGGGGAAAAGAATTTTTCCTTCCCTAAAACCATTTCGTGTTTTTTAAGAGGCGACCCAAAAAGCCGGAGCAAAGGGGTAGAAATCTTTCCTGATATATTTTCTAAATGTAAAAAAGAAAAATTTTGTTTTTCTTCTTGGGCCCCCCCGCCTTTTGGGGGGGTTTCTTTTCCCGTTTGTTTTAAAAAAAAAAAAACTTTCAATTAAGTCCCCTTTCCCAGATTTTGCTTGGCCGACTTTATGGGTTTTTAGAAATTACCTTTGGGGGGGCCCCAAATTTGGGGTGAACTTACTTTTTGTCAGGGGAGGGGGAGAGTTGGTTGTCACTATGCGTTTTTTCAAAAGCATAGTGTGGCTGCCCCCGACGACTTCGGGCCGGGTAGGGAAATTAGATCTAAAAAAAAATGATCCAAATGGATTTAAAAAAATAGATTTTAAAAAATTTTTGGTTAAAAAAAGAGGTATATAAAAGGCTTTCAAAAAGGGGGGGGTGCCGGGTTTAAAAAATCAATATATTTAAATTTAAAAAGAAAAATAAAAAAAAAAGGGAAAAATTTAAAAACAAACAAGGTTTTTTAGGCTAAAGTCGCAAGGGGGTTCAAAGATTAACCCAAAAGGGGGTTTTTTCAGGTATACAGAAAAAGATTAGGGAAAGACGGCCCCCCCCTTAAAGGAGGAACACAAGGTCAGAAACCCCCTGACAGGATAAAGGGAAAAGTGTGAACTTTTAATACCCACTTCCTCTAAGTTTTTTTAGGAAAAATACTAGCGAAATTCCCGAAATATAAATTATTTTTAAAAAAAAGGCAAATAAACTATGGGTGATTAGGGTAATAGTGACATGGTCCCCAGACAAATAGAGAATTAAAAAATAAAAAAATCCCCAGTCTTGATGAAAAAATGTTTGCAAAAGGGGTTTTTAAAAGGGAAAGTAAAAAGGGAAGTTAGCATACCTTTGGCTAATTTTTTTAATATATCCTCCCAAATGCCTAGGGCCGAACCCAAAAGGGGAAAAAAGGCAAATGTAATCCTTTTTACAGGGGGGTGCAGGGCCTTAGCTTCGAATTAAAAGACCCAAAAAACCTTACTTCCATAGTTGGTAAAATTTTTTGGAATCAATAAATTTCCCAAACAATTCGCCGCCATCTGGGGAAAAGGGATTTAAATTTATTAATGAATCTCTTACGAATTTACTAACTTTTTTCCCCTAAAGGAAATTGGGGGGAGGTGACCAAAGGGAAAATGAATATGATTTGTTTTGAAAGAAATTTAGATTTTTAGGGAAAAATTGGGAATCTTTATTGGAAAAAACGTTTTGCCACACAGTTTCTTCATCGTCTAATAAATTAGAAATGGGTTAAGGGGGGGAGGAGTTTGAGGTAAACGTCCCCCAGCCGGAAAACGATGTGTTCAGGGCCTCACTCTTGTAGGGAAAAAAAAGCATAGGGCCGAGAGGTGACTTTTATAATGTTGGGCGAAATCGAAGCAGGAGGAGGGGGGGGATCACATTTGGGGCCTGCCATTTGGTGAAAATAGGTTTATCGTTTTTAAAAAGGGTTTTACAAACGTTTGGGGTCTTTTTTAACAAGATCCCCTGATGTTGCAATGTCTGACAATTTTGATGAATAATTTTTAAAAACCCAAAAAGGGTTTAAAAAACAGAGACACATATGAACATAAAGGAATTTTTTAATTTAAGAAACGTTTCACCACACAGTGGCTTCTTCAGTCCCCAAACAAAGTTAAAAAATGGGGGAAAGGGGAGGAGGGTTTTTAGGTAAACAGTCCCTCAGCTTTGGGAAACTATGTATTCAGTCCCCCTTTTTGTGGAAGTACAGTTTCAGCATAGGGCCGAGAGGTGGCTTTTTTTTACTGCAGTGAGGTTTTTTGAAGAGGAAGGCGGTGGGATCACAGTGGGACCTGCCATAGTGTAAGTAGGTCTCGTCCAAAAGGGTTGGACAAACATTGAAGGGCCTTTTGTACCCAAAATCCCACCATGTTGTAGTGTTGGGAGATTGGGTTTGGGGGCTGACGCCCCCACTGTGTGGGAAAATGTTTTTTCAATAAAAATTTCCCCTATTGGTTTTTCATAAGTATCTAATTCTTTGCTTGTTGGTTTTCAAAAAAAATATTCAAACACCTTTATATTTGTATATGGGATTCAGTAAGGCTTTCGTAGAGTTCCCCATCAGAGGGCTAAATTTAGGAAACTTTAAAGGCCCCATGGAATAGGAGAAATTTTTTTCCTGGGTAGGGGGCCATGGTTGACAAATAGGCAAACAAAGAGTTTGCATAAATGGGAGAAAATCAGTTGGGGGGGACCCTCACAAGCAGGTTTCCCCCAAAGGGGGCAGGTTGGGCCCCTTGTTCACAAACTACATAAAAAGAACCCTTTAGGGAAAAAAGAGTGACTGGGGAAATTTTTGATGGCACCAAAATAGGCCATCCAATACATTTTAAAGGGACATCCAAAAAGGGACTCCCGGTTTATTTGAACAGATGAGGGGGGGTTTGGGGGGGGCAGATGAGTTTAAAATAGAAAATGCAAAGGGTTTTCAATGTTTGGGCAGGGAAAAAAACCAGCCACATGTCAGCTAAATAATGTTAAAATTTTTAATATTAAAGGATTTGGGAAAAAGGGGTTTAGGGTTTCTGGTTAGCATTAAACTGAAACCCCAAAAAAACAGTGCATAAGTGTTTGAATAAAGCTAACAAATTCCCTTTGGGTTCCAGCAAGAAGTTTTAAAAAATTAGGGGAAGTCCTAGGTTGTTCTTAACTTTTATTTTATCTTTTTGGTTTTTGGCTCATTTAGATTTTTGTTTTCAGTTCTGGTCACCGTATTAAAGAATGGATATAAATTTCACTGGAAAAATTTCAAAGGAGGGGTGACCCAAAATTGATCCCATGTATCCAGGGAAAACTTCCCTATAGGACGACTGAGGGCCTGAATCTGCACCTTAGAAAAGGGGGTAGAATTAAGAGGGATATGACTGAGGTGGTTTAAAAAAGGAAAAAGGAATTAATAAAGGGATTAAAAGCCCGCTAAAAATTTTTAAAAAGGGCAGGACTCAAAAGCAAAGGTTTTTTAAATTGGAAAAAATTTGATTCAGGAAGGAAAATTTGGAAAAACTGGTTTGGTAATTGAGTTGTGGAAAGAGTGGAACAAAAATTCCCCCAGTACGGTAACCCTAAGCTAAGACAAGTTTTAGTTTTAAATACGGGGGGGTAAATACATGAGTGGGTGTGGATGGGTGTGAGTTGGACCTAACTAGCTTGCGCTACTAGGTCAAATGCTGTGCTCCTCCTTTAAGTGATGTGTTTGACCTCACTAGGTCAGCGAGATCAGACGGTCAGTGAGCTTAAGGTCACTAGGTCAGTGGGCTTAAGCCGGTAGGAGAATTAGACCTGCCTCGCATAGGCCAGTAGGCCTGTTGCAATGTTCCTTCTTTCTTATGTTCTTATAAACATTGCTATACGTTTTGGCATAGAATCAACATACGTTGAACACATTTTGGCAAGTTCTTCATCGTCGTACCAGGTCCTAATAACAACAGCAATTAGCTTCTCCATAGTTGAATAGTCCTGTTTTGCAATCCTGCATTTGCTTATTGCCCACAGATTCTCAATTGGGATGACATCAGGAGAGCTTCCAGGCCAATTTAGAATGCTTAGCGCACTCTCTTTGAAGAATGTCAGCATTTTTCTGGAAGCATGTCATGGATCAAGTTCCTGCTGGAAAATGCCTTCTCCGTCAGGAAAGTCTCTATCCACATTGGAAAGCAAATGAGTTGCCAGGATTGCTTTGTATTTGCTCATCATTCCCTCAGCAATAACAAAGCCATCCAGGGCCTTTAGTAGTAAAACTACCCCAAAACATCTTCTTAGGTGGGTTTTTGGCACTTGTTGAATGTGTCCAGTCTGAAGAGATTCACTTTTGCTCTGTCTCACTACCACTGATCTGTACCCATGTACTTCAAAATGTGCCTCATCTGAAAATAACTTTTCTCCATTCATTTGTTATCCATCCCTTATGATTGAGTGCAATAACCTTGTCATCATGAGGTGTTGTCTCGCATTTTCTTCCACAATCTTCCTCAACACAGCACTCCACAATCACGACTGTCGTAAGCTCTTTTTAGAATTCGACCAACAGCTGACTTTGCTAGGCTCAAATTTTTGGTAATCTGTCTGATACTCAAATCAGGTATGTTTTCTAAGAGCTACAATACTTGCATACCTCCTAAGTGTAACATCCATCATGAATTTCTGCAGTAATCATGAACTGAAGGGAAGAATTTGGCGAAACCACAATCACCCATGAAGCATGCTTACAGGAATAGCCTTACATAACAACAGCTGTTGTAGCATTGACAAGTCACAGGGTAACACCACAGCTGGAGGGTTGCCAGAAGTCAGTAGCAAACTGTTCTGAAAATTAAAGAACCCAAACTACATTAATTCAGTCAGAGATTAAGACATTATGAGATAATCACAAAATTTACTCCTGTCCCAATTAATCTGCACAATACTGTAGGTGAGGGCTTTTCACCTATTTTATTTTTTTTCCTCTTGCATGGCTTTCCAGCACCCTGCATTGAACCATTCTTTTATATTTTGTATCCTCTCTTCACTGGGATGGACTATTCAATACCACTGTTATATAATGCATATATTACAAAAAAAAAAAAAAATTATTTTTCACTGATATTACTCCCTTAATATATTTACTGTAATTTCATTATGGTTACAAATCTAGATCCTCATAATTTACACTTTCATAATCCAGTCTACTTTGTATTTATTTTTTCTCATTTTCCATACCTAATGAAAAATATATTTCTAATAAGTGGAACCAAAGGCTGGAGCTCATATCCTTAAACTCAAATAGTACTTAAACTAAATAGTTTAAGTACTCCTTCAATTCATAAAAATGCTAAATGGATAATCAGTTTACATGAGAGTTGAAAAATCTTAAATTTTAAAAATATAAAAATAATGCTACATTTCAGTAATATTAGAGTACTCTACGTGTCTAATAAAAAATATCTTATGCTACTGAGCTTGGCTTTATCTTGAATGATTAGGTTGAGGAAGTGAAAGAGGAGTCAGGGTGTAGAGTCGCACCTCTCCACACACCACCACTGCACTCACTACAGGTACATCATCATGAAACCTTGTGCTGACTTCCAAGATCTGCCCAGGAGATGGCATACACCTTTCCCTGAATGAAAAAGTCTATTAAAATAAAATATTACAAAAGTCTAAGTTAATAATTAATATATCCACTGGTACACTGATGACATACCATGAGTGAGTGAGCTTGAATAATGACCTACTCAAACTCATTCACGCTTTCATGGTTTGTCATCAATGTAGCTTTTCTTTTTCGGGCCACCCTACCTTGGCGGAAAATGGCAGATGTGTTAATAAAACAAAAAAATTTTTTTTTTAAAAATGGCATATCACCGAGGCAGGGTGGCCAAGAGAAAACAAGGTGCTCTTAAGATTAGTAATCTATACAGGAGAAGGATTACTAGGGGAAAAGGTGGATAGGGTGTCTCGAAATTGGAAGGAAGGGGAAGGGAGGTTTTGGAGGGTTGGAAGGATGCACGGCGTGTTGATAGGGGTGGAGCGATGGTATTTGGGCCTGAGATCGTTGGTGTGAAGGTAAGATTAGTGAAGGGATTCGGAGGTTTTTGTATTAGCGGGACTTGGACTTCCAACAGGGGTACATGCGTGTCTATAGGAGGGATTGGGTGATACTAGCAGTTTGGGGAGGGATCTGTTGAGTTTTATACATAATATGTTTAAAGTGGTTCTGAGCATTACAACAGTGATTTTTGTATGATAAAGCGGAATGTGAGAAAGCTTCTTATATGGGATTTTCACTTCTTTGGGGCACCTGCCTTGGTGGAGAAGACCGGGTTGAAACTAGAAAGTCATTGTAGGGAAGCCAGATGGATCTTTATAATATATGTTCTAAATGTTGTAGTTCCCTGGAGCAGAAGTAGCAAAAACCTGATTTGTGTTGATGAGAGAAAAAGGAGAATCATGATGTAAAAGCATTTAATTTTGGGGATTTTCCTCACTTGTTCGGGTATACTCCCTGGGGTTGTGGCACCGCTACTACACAGACTAGATAGTACCTCCTGGGTGGTGGAAGAACCAGAGGGGTGTATCTTGGTTGTTTTTCCCAGTATGTACAGGACGGTGACCCCTGGGTGGTTGTAGACAGTACAAGGACGGTAACCTGAAATCTTGGTGTTTGAACCCAAATAAAAGGACGAGTACCTCCTGTGTTTTAGCTAATACAAGTACAGTATTTCGTTTTACACTCACTTGGCAGGACGGTAGTACCTCCCTGGGTGGTTGTTGTCTACCAGCCTACTACCTAGGATAAAACAAAATATCTTTTTCTTTCTTTCTTTCAACACACCGGCCGTATCCCACCAAGGCATGGGTGAATTCTGTTCCACTTCCCCATGGAGGTAAGAGGAAATAAACAAGAACATGAACTAGAAAGAAAATAGAAGAAAACCCAAAGGGGTGTGTATATATATATATGATAGTACATGTATGTGTAGTGTGACCTAAGTGTAAGTAGAAGTAGCAAGACGTACCTAAAATCTTGCATGTGTATGAGATAGAAAAAAAAAAAGACACCAGCAATCCTACCATCCGTGTAAAACAATTACAGGCTTCAGATTTACACTCACTTGGCAGGATGGTAATACCTCCCTGGGTGGTTGCTGTCTACCAACCTACTTCTTTCTTTCTTTCAACGTACCCGCCATATCCCACCAAGGCGGGGTGGCCCAAAAGGAAAAACGAAAGTTTCTCCTTTCAAATTTAGTAATATATACAGGAGAAGGGGTTACTAGCCCCTTGCTCCCGGCATTTTAGTCACCTCTTACGACACACATGGCTTACGGAGGAAGAATTCTGTTCCACTTCCCCATGGAGATAAGAGGAAACAGACAAGAACAAGAACTAGAAAAAAAATAGAAGAAAACCCAGAGGGGTATGTATATATATGCTTGTACATGTATGTGTAGTGTGACCAAGTGTAAGTAGAAGTAGCAAGACGTACCTGAAATCTTGCATATTTATGAGGCAGACAAAAGACACCAACAATCCTACCATCATGTAAAACAATTACAGGCTTTCGTTTGTACACTCACTTGGAAGGATGGTAGTACCTCCCTGGGTGGTTGTGTCTACCAACCTACTACCTAGGATAAAACAAAATATATATTAACTATATTATAGTTCAAGTAAAGTAGGAAAAAATATCGAACTAATTCATAATGAAATTATATTGATAGGATTATTGTGAACACCAGGCAATAGGCTGGTAGAAAATCCTGTGTCACAGGATGTGACACAGGATGTGAATGATATAACAGAAGTGATACACTCAGAAGTGTCTCTGTTTGCAGATGATGTGAAGTTAATGAGAAGAATTAAATCAGATGAGGAGATGTGGAGTGAGAGGTAACATTTGCAAATGATTTCTCCCGTTTAGGAATTAAACATATATATTTTTTTTTTTTTTCCAACAAGTTGGCCGTCTCCCACCGAGGCAGGGTGACCCAAAAAAGAAAGAAAATCCCCAAAAAGAAAATGCTTTCATCATCATTCAACACTTTCACCACACTCACACATAATCACTGTTTTTGCAGAGGTGCTCAGAATACAACAGTTTAGAAGCATATACATATAAAAATACACAACATATCCCTCCAAACTGCCAATATCCCAAACCCCTCCTTTAAAGTGCAGGCATTGTACTTCCCATTTCCAGGACTCAAGTCCGACTATATGAAAACAACCAGTTTCCCTGAATCCCTTCGCTAAACATTACCCTGCTCACACTCCAACAGATCGTCAGGTCCCAAGTACCATTCGTCTCCATTCACTCCTATCTAACACACTCACGCACGCTTGCTGGAAGTCCAAGCCCCTTGCCCACAAAACCTCCTTTACCCCCTCTCTCCAACCCTTTCGAGGATGACCCTACCTCACCTTCCTTCCCCTATAGATTTCCATGTCATTCTACTTTGATCCATTCTCTCTAAATGACCAAACCACCTCAACAACCCCTCTTCTGCCCTCTGACTAATATTTTATTAACTCCACACCTTTTCCTAATTTCCACACTCCGAATTTTCTGCATAATATTTACACCACACATTGCCCTTAGACAGGACATCTCCACTGCCTCCAACCGTCTCCTCGCTGCTGCATTTACCACCCAAGCTTCACACCCATATAAGAGTGTTGGTACTACTATACTTTCATACATTCCCTTCTTTGCCTCCATAGATAACATTTTTTGACTCCACATTTACCTCAATGCACCACTCACCTTTTTTCCCTCATCAATTCTATGATTAACCTCATCCTTCATAAATCCATCCGCCGACACGTCAACTCCCAAGTATCTGAAAACATTTACTTCTTCCATACTCCTCCTCCCCAATTTGATATCCAATTTTTCTTTATCTAAATCATTTGATACCCTCATCACCTTACTCTTTTCTATGTTCACTTTCAACTTTCTACCTTTACACACATTCCCAAACTCATCCACTAACCTTTGCAATTTTTCTTTAGAATCTCCCATAAGCACAGTATCATCAGCAAAAAGTAACTGTGTTAATTTCCATTTTGAATTTGATTTCCCATAATTTAATCCCACCCCTCTCCCAAACACCCTAGCATTTACTTCTTTTACAACCCCATCTATAAATATATTAAACAACCATGGTGACATTACACATCCCTGTCTAAGACCTACTTTTACCGGGAAGTAGTCTCCCTCTCTTCTACACACCCTAACCTGAGCCTCACTATCCTCATAAAAACTCTTTACAGCATTTAGTAACTTATCACCTATTCAATATACTTGCAACATCTACCACATTGCTCCCCTATCCACTCTATCATATGCCTTTTCTAAATCCATAAATGCAATAAAAACTTCCCTACCTTTATCTAAATACTGTTCACATATATGCTTCAATGTAAACACTTGATCTACACATCCCCTACCCACTCTGAAACCTCCTTGCTCATCCGCAATCCTACATTCTGTCTTACCTCTAATTCTTTCAATTATAACCCTACCGTACACTTTTCCTGGTATACTCAATAAACTTATTCCTCTACAATTTTTACAATCTCTTTTGTCCACTTTCCCTTTATATAAAGGGACTATACATGCTCTCCGCATGCGTACCTACATTTATACATATGTTACATATACGTATTACATACACATACATACAATTATATGGGTGTGAAGCTTGGGTGGTAAATGCAGCAGCGAGGAGACGGTTGGAGGCAGTGGAGATGTCCTGTCTAAGGGCTAAGTTTGGTGAAAATATTATGCAGAAAATTCATTGGAGGCAGTGGAGATGTCCTGTCTAAGGGCTATGTGTGGTGAAAATATTATGCAGAAAACTCAGAGTGTGGAAATTAGGAAAAGGTGTGGAGTTAATAAAAGTATTAGTCAGAGGGCAGAAGAGGGGTTGTTGAGGTGGTTGGGTCATTTAGAGAGAATGGATCAAAATAGAATGACATGGAAAGCATATAATCTATGGGGGAAGGAAGGCGATGTAGGGGTCGTCCTCGAAAGAGTTGGAGAGATGGGGTAAAGGAGGTTTTGTGGGCGAGGGGCTTGGACTTCTAGCAAGCGTGCGTGAGCGTGTTAGATAGGAGTGAATGGAGACGAATGGTACTTGGGACCTGACGATCTGTTGGAGTGTGAGCAGGGTAATATTTAGTGAAGGGATTCAGGGAAACTGGTTATTTTCATATAGTCGGACTTGAGTCCTGGAAATGGGAAGTACAATGCCTGCACTTTAACCCTTTGACTGTCTCAACCCCAATCCTGAGGTGTCTCCTGGTGTCGCAAAATTTAAAAAAAAAAAATTATTTTTTTCTTATGAAATAATAAAGAATCTTTTCCCAATTGTAATGACACCAAAAAAACGAAATTTGATGGAAAACTGACGAAATTATGCTCTCGCGAAGTTAGCGACCTCGGCACTGTTTACAATCGGCGATTTCGCCCACTTTGAGCCCTATTTTCGGCTAATTCTATTGTTCCAGTCGCCCAAACTCATAGCTATTTTTTAGAACTCCATTTTTTCTATTGTTTGAGTACAAGAAACTGCCCATTTACCAATTTCAACTACCTAATAATGTGGTCAGAAA